AAAATAAAATAAAACTCAGAATACTGAAACAAAACAAAACAAAAAGATATACGAGGCACTAAGTGACAGAACTGAAGGGTAAAATGGTCGACTGAACAATAACTGTTGAAAATTTCAATACCTTCAATGATGGAAAAGAACAACTAGACAGAAGGTCAACCAAGCAACAGAAGAGGTGATCAACACTATAAAACTAACGGGAGCTACAGACCTTTATGGGACATCCCACCCAACATCAGTAGAACCCAGTCTTCTCAAGTGCACCCGGACATTCTCCAGGGCAGACCGTGGCCTAGGCCATAAAACAAGCCTCGATAAATTTATAAGGATTCAAATCATACAAAATCAGGATTGTGACCACACTGGAATTAAAAGAAGTCACGAATAGAAGGAAATCTGGAAAATTCACAAATATGTGGAAATAAAACCACCACGGTCCTAAATAACCCATGCATCAAAGAAGAAATCATAAGAGATAATAAAAAATACTTTGAGAAAATGAAAATAAAAACACAGCATACTAAAACTGAGGAGATGTAGCTGACGTATCAGTCATAAAAGGGAACAGGTCCTGATACATGCTGCCACATGAACAAAGCCAGAGAGTGAAGGAAGTCAGACAAAAAGGCCACTTCCTGTCTGATCCCATCTCTAGGAAATGTCCCAAAGAGAGAAGTCTACAAACACAGGACACACACTCAGTACTGTCAGGGGGTGGGGGGCAGGTCTGCTGATGGGGCTGGGGAGACGGGAGGATGGGGGTGGGGGGGTCTGCTGATGGGGCTGGGGGGACGGGAGGATAGGGGTTCTGTGGATGGGGCTGGGGAGACAGAAGGATGAGGGTCTGCTGATGGGGGATGGGGATATGGGAGGATGGGGGGGTCTGCTAATGGGTGTGGTGCTCCTCTTTGGAGTACTGGCATTGGCTCTTAAGCCAGTTTGTTATTTTTTTTAAAGCCACACAGAAGGGCAGAAGGGTGGTCAGGCTAAATGGCCTCCGTGTTTTCCTCCCAGCCGTACAACACTCTGGAGGCATAGTGCCTACGGCATTTCACTGCTGACCAGAAGGCTGGCAGTTCAAACCCATCAGCCACTCCTAGAAAGAAGACTGGGCAGTCTACTTCTGTAGCGGTTACTATGAGTCCAATGAACTCAACAGCACAGAGTTGTTTTTTTTTTTTAAGCGCAGAGAAGGCTGCTGGTCTAGGCCAGGCCCGGCGCCCTCAGATGACCAGGTACCCCTCCAGGTCAGAGAGCACGACAGGGGAGAGGGGACCTGGAGCGGTGGAGTTGGCGGGCGGCAGCCTCACTCACCAAGCACGGTGCTGAGGAGCTTGGTGGGACCCGCCTGCGTGGCCGGGGCGCAGAGGGTGTTGAAGTAGAGCCCCGAGCCCTCCCGGATGGGGCTGAGCATGGGGGGCGGCGTGTAGGGCAAGCACTGGAACAGGCCGTGCAGGAGCTGGTCCACCAGGAACACCGGGGACCGCAGGCAGCTCTGGTGGCGCCCGCCGGGGCCTGGCTCCCCAGATGCCGAGCGTGCGGGAGGCATGGACAGGGCCTTGGCCTGGGGACGCTTCTTCCGCTTCCTGTACTGGCAGCTGTCTCGCTCCTCCCCATCTTTGTCTGGTCCCTGGGGGAGAAGGACGTTCAGGATCCCAGGTGGTCAACAGGGCACCCACCGCTTGGCGATGGCTCCAAGGGTGAGGGGGTCTCTCTCTCTCTCTCTCTCTCTCACACACACACACACACACACACACCAAGCTGTCTGAGCCAAGAGCCCGAGGCAAGGAGGCCAAGAGCCCCCCACAGCAGAGGCAGGCCCGGGACTCTGTGCCTGGGGACATGTGCGGCTGCAGGCTGCACAGACACTCACACCCCCAGGAGAGGCCCTGACCCGGAGGATTCTGGGACCCTGAGAGGGCAGTCTCAGTTGTTACGGTGACTGGCACGTAAGAAGTGGGGGGACCAGGGATGCAGGGGAAGCAACAGTCTGACAAAATGACAACAGCTCCTGTGAGACCAACGACGAGGCTCAATCGTAGACTCAGGTGACCTTATGTCCCAGAGCCAGCGTGGGGCTCTCGGGGGAGGGCTCTTCCAGCACCAACTTAAATGACAAGTCCCACATGACCGACCCCGTGATCAAAATCTCCCCTCCTCTCTGCCAGTCTCCTCCCCCTCTTTGTCCTCCTCCTCCAGGTCTTAGCTCTGATGTCCCTTCCTGCAGGAAGCCCTCCCTGACCTCTTCAGGCTGGGTGAGATGTTCCTCTGAGTACCCCCAACTCCCCTCACTCTGGATCCTCTCTGTCTGAGGAAGGGTCTGTGTAACCCACTGAACTGGGAGCCCTGAGAAGACAGGGCCAGGATGTCACGGTTACAGGTGTGTCCCCAGCACTGCCCAGCACAGGGCCGACCACAGAGGAGACTCAGTGAGTGTTGACTGACTGAATGAATGAGTAAGCCACCTTCTGTAGCCAGGATTGTCACCAGTGTTTGGTTTGGGTTCTCCTCGCAGCTTCCTCTCTGGCACAGGGCCAGAGAGGCATCCGCACCCACCTTGGCTGAGAGCCAGGTCCTGGGGGCCACAGGGACAGACACAGGGATCACCAGAGGGGATGCTGCCGCGGTGTCGACGGGCTTCTTGGCTCCTGGAGGGCTTTGCCCATCCCCATCTGGCCTCATCCCCTGTCTTGGTGGCTTGCAAAACTCTGAGCCAAACACCTAGACACAGAAAACAATTCTTTAAGAAGAACCACAGCCGCTACCCAGGGGCCGTCCCGTCGATTCTGCCTCATGGGACCCCCGTGCGTCAGACCCGAGCTGGTCTGTCCCCACGTCATCAGACCTTTCTTCTGAGGTGTCACTGGGTGAACTCGAGCCGCCAACATCTGGGTTAGCAGCCGAGTGCGTTAGCCATCTGTGCCGCCCAGGGACTCCGAGAAACAGCAGCCAGAGAAAAGAAAGTCAGGGGCAGGAAAAGGACACGTCGGGGCGGCGACCTGGAGCAGGGCCAGCTGAACGCACGCAGCCCCTCGTGATGCTGCCTCCATCCTGAGGTGGACGACCCCGAGGCGGTCACTCCCTCCAGCTGGTCAGGAGCCCCACCCCTGAGAAGCCACTGCCTGTGTCCCCTCACCTGCTGCTCCTGCTTCCCGCACGGCGACGGCCACTGGTCGCTGTGGAAACACATGTGGCTGCTGAGGCCCTTCTCGGTGTAAAACATCTGGCTGCAGTTCTTGCAGACGTAAGTGCTCCTTGGCTCTGCCCAGTCTGCCAGGCCCCCATTCTGCTGGTTACTACGGGTAGACGCGCAGGAGGGGAGAATGGCAGGAATGGACTCTGTCTCTCATCACCGGCCTTTTGTCCTTGGGGCCTGGCCCCCTGCCAACTCTTGATGAACCCTAGACTCCAACTCTTCACAGCCTGGCCCACGATCCTCAGGACTGAAAGCACCCAGAGCCCGTTCACCGGGGCCAGCACCCGAAAGCCACCCCGGCCCTTCTGAGCGAACGGCTCCGGGCAGCCAGAGGCCTTCACTTACCATCCAGCCGCCATGTTCTCCTCCTTCACCGGGTGGGGGAGCCTGTAGATGTTTCCACCCTGAGGACAAGAGGACAGCTGAGCCACCATGCCAGAAATGAGAAGGCACCACACAGTAAAAGCAGCAAGCTCTTCGAAGACGCAGGTGCAATTCTTCCTAACTTTGGACCACGTAATGGTTTCTTAGATGACGTCAGGGCACGCACATGTGTGCGTGCACACACACACACACACAGTGGACAAACTGGACATCATCAAAACTAACAACTTTTGTGCTTCAAAGACTACCATCAAGAAAGAGAAAAGACAAGGCATGGGATGGGAGACAAATTTTGCAAATCCTAAAGGAGCCTTGGAGGTGCAGCGGCTGCTAACTGAAAGGTTGGCGGTTTGAACCCACCCAGCGGCTCCATGGGGGAAAAGCAATGTGCTTCCATGAAGGTGACACCCAGGAAAACCCTATGGGGCAGTTCTGCTTTGTCACAGGGGTCACTAAGAGTCCAAGGTCAACTTGATGGCACCAACGTATCTGATAAGGGACTTGCACTCAGATTATACAAAGAACTCTTACCAAACCAAACCCATTACCACAGAACTGACTACAACTCGTAGCGACCTCATAGGACAGAGTAGAACTGTTCCATATGGCTTCCAAGGCCGTCAATCTTTATGGAAGCAGACGGCCTCATCTTCCTCCTGCAGGGTGGCTGGTGGGTTCAGACCACTGACTTTTCAGTTAGCAGCCAAGCACTTAACCCCTGCAACACCAGGGCTCCTTAAGAACTCTTACAGCTCAGAAAAAAAGAAAAAAAGACCAAGTTTGCTGGTCTGATAGAGCCTGGTGAGACCCCTGAGACTATGGCCCCCAGCTGCCCTTCAGGTCTGGAACTGAACCCACTCCTGTGGCTTCCAGCCAAACAACAGACAGGCATATGGGGTGAACACTCACATCAGGTAGATACACTCCTTGGAGAGAACAATCGTGGGAGAACAGAAGGGCAGTGTTTGCACAGGGAGACAGCTGGGGGGCAGGAGTGCACGGGAGGGAAGGACACAGGGAAGAGATAACCACAGGGAGGAAGTGGAAAGAGAGCTGTTGCATTGTGGGGAATTGCAGTCAATGTCATGAAAGAAAATGTGTATGAAGTGCTGTATGGAAGATGAATTTGTTCTGCAAACTTTCACCCAAATCACAAACAAAATTAAAAAAAAAAAAAGTAAAGAATGCTTACAGCTCAATATAGAAAAATAAATAACCCAACTGAAAAATGGGCAAAGGGCCTAAACAAGTATTTCTCCAAGAACCTATGCAGACGGCCAACAAACACACAAAAAGATGCTCAACGTCATTAGACATCTTGGAGATGCCAATCAAAACCACAATGACATCACTTCACCCTCACCAGGATGGCAAGAGGAGTCACCACACATTTCAGCAATTCCGCTCCTACCAGCATACCCAAGAGAAATGCAAACGTGTCCTCACAAGCACTTGTGTACAAACGTTCACAGCAGCGTTATTCATAACAGCCCAAAAGTGGAACCAACTCAAAAGTCCGTCAGTGGATGAACAAGTAAACAAAACACGGTACATCTATACAATGTCTCACGCAGCCGTAAGAAGGAGCCACGTTCTGATACACGAGACCCCACGGAGGAAGCCAGAAAACAGGACGCTGAGTGAACGAAGTCAGTCCCAGGAGACCACACAGTCTGACTCCATTTATATGCAACGCCCAGGACAGGTAGGTCCCCAGAGACAGAGAGCACACCTGTGGTTGCCAGGGGCTGGGGAGACGGCAGGGAGCTAAGGGGTGTGGGGGTTTCTTTTCAAGGTGAGGCAAGGTTCTAAAATGGATTGTGGTGATGGATGCCAACTCTGCAAATGGACTACAAACAACTAAATTTACATTTAAGTGTAAACGCTATGCTACGGGAATAATGTTGGGGGCCAGTGCCGACCCACAGTGACCCCATGCAACTGAGTGGAACTGCCCGGTGTGGTTTCTAGCGTGTGATCTCTATGGCAGCAGGTCACCAGCTCTTTCCCCACAGAGCCCCTGGGTGGGTTTGAACTGCTAACCTTTCAGTTAGCAGGCAAACGTTTAGCTGCTGCACCACCAACCTCCTCTGTAAATAATCAAACTGTTTTTTTTTTTTTTTTTAATGAGAAAGTAGGTGAGGTGTGTCAGGAAGGTGCTGGACTTGGAGTCACGAGAGAACCCTGTCACTCACGGGCAGTGGCCGAACCTCTCCAAGCGCAGGACCTCAGAGCACGGTGTTTGAAGGAAGTCAGTGTGCCGAGCAGGGTCAGACACAGGGTGGGAGCCCAGAGAGACTTGTGGGATGTGTGGCTAACCATGGGAAGGTGTGTGGCTAACCATGGGAAGGTGTGTGGCCGCTTTGTGCAGGAGCAATGAAGGAGAGGGGTCCCCACCTTTAAGTTCTTTGAAGAACTGAAGGAGGAAAGTCCAAATGAAAACACAAGGCCAGCAGTAAGCAAGCAGAGAGAGAGTTTAGTGGCAACAAAATGACACTCAGTATTTCTAACAGCTCTGTAAAGTCCCCACTCTATTTTCAAGGATTGAAAAGAAAGGTGTTTTTTTTTTTACTTTGACTTTTATTTATTTATATTGTGATTTGGGTGAAAGTTTAGAGAGAAAATTCACTTTCCATACAGCAGTTCACACACACACGTTGTCTCATGACATTGACCACAATTTACCCCAATGCAACAGCCCCCCTCCCACTTCCTCTCGATAGTTACCTCTCCCTGTGTCCATCCCTCCATGCACTCCTGCCCCGAGCTGTCTCCCTGTGCATAAGCAGCCCTTTTTTCTCCCATGATTGTTCTCTCCAAGGAGTGTACCTACCTCAGGTAAATGTTCAACTCATATGCCTGTCTTTTGTTTGGCTGGAAGCCATAGGTGTGGGTTCAATTCCAGACCTGAAGGGCAGCTAGGGGCCATAGTCTCAGTGGTTCCACTAAGCTCTATCAGACCAGCAAACCTGGTCCCTTTTTTTTTTTCCCCCAAATGATTAAAAAAGGTTTTTTTAAAAACCATCATCTCTCAGCTTTCATTTTCACCTCTGTACAATTTCTTATGAGAATTAAGATGAAATAAAGTGCCTAGACAATTAATACATGCTAAACTCACCACCACTGAGTCAATTCTGACTCACAATGCCCCTAGAGGACAGAGTAGAACTACCCCACAGGGTTTCCAAGGCTGGTAGCATAGTGCCTAAGGCATCTGACTGCTAAGTAGAAGGTTGATGGTTCAAACTTACCAGCCACTCCGCAGAAGGAAGACCTGGGCATTCGTTTCTGTAAAGATCTACCTCCTAGAAAACCCAAAGGGGGTCGCTATGAGCCAGAATCAATTTGATAGCACTCGGGGGGAATCTTTACAGAAGCAAAGCCCAAAACAAACCCACTGCCATGGGGTCGATTCCGACTCATAGTGCCCCCAGAGGACAGAGTGGAACTGTACCACAGGGTTTCCAAGGTTCTGGTGGCATAGTCCCTGAGGTATTTGATTGCTAACCAGAAGCTGGCGGTTGAAACCTACCAGCCACTCCTCGATAGGATGATTAGGCAGCCTAATTCTGTAGTGATACTGCCTTGGAAACCCAAGGAGAGGTAGCTATGAGTCAGATCCAACTGGACAGCAGTGAGAATATTCATGGAGGCAAAGCCCAAACCAAACCCACTGCTGTGGAGTGTATTCTGACTCACAGCGCCCCTAGAGGATGGAGTGGAACTGCACCATAGGGTTCCCAAGGCTGAAATCTTTACTACAGAAGCAGATTGCCTCATCCTTCTCCAGGAGCCACTGTGTGTTTGAACTGCGGACCTCTTGGTTTACAGTCAAGTGCTTATCCGCTGTGCCACCAGGCCTCCTTAATAAATGCTAAAGCAACAGATGACACTGGCCTCACTCAGATGCTGGCCAGTGCCTCGCCCCAAGCGGCCAGGTACCTGGATCCTGTTGAATATGGTCAGCTTGGACTTGGCATCCCGTGAGGGCTCTGCTGGAGGCCCGGCTGATGAGAAGGAGGCCATGGCTACCTGGCTTGGAGACGCGGCACAGCACACACCCATCTTCACCTTCTCCTTCCGGAAGCTGGAGAAGCGCTGGGCCCTGGAGTTGCCCGAGTAGAGCCTGTAGCCTGCGCCCCGGGAGCAGGCCGGGCCCTTGTCGCCTCTCGTGGCCCCCGAGGCTGTGCCGTTCGGGGCCCGGGCCTGCTTCCCAGGGAGCTGGGCAGCAGGTGTCTCGTCACCCCCCGGCTGGCTCTGCCATGGGCAGGGGGAGGGGAAGATGTCCCCCAGGTCCAGCGCCCCCTTGGCAGATCGCAGCTGCTTGGCCAGAGAAGAGGCGTCTGGGTTAGCAGAAGGGTCCACGGCTGAGGACGGGAGGGACGGCGCAGTCTTCGGTCCTGCCGTGGCCTCCTGCCGCGCGATGCCGGGGGAGGCCTCGCGGGGAAAGGCGGGCGTGGACTTCCTCCTGCGGGCCGGGGAGCCCTGGGGCTCCGGGTTTCCAGGGCTGACCTGGACGGAGTCCACAGCGGGCTGCTGCGGCCAGGAGCCCGGCAGAGGCCTCAGGGCGGCCTCGGGCCCGGGGAGCTGGGCTGCGGCGAAGATGCGCTGCGACTTGGTGAGCATCTGGAAAACCTGCATCTGTTCGTGGCTCACCAGGGACTCCGGCGACTTCAGGAAGAGCGGCCGGAAGAGCGGCGTGGCCTCCGCCGAGGGCCCGCCGCCTTTCGCGGCGTCCTGGGCGCCGGGCTCCCCGGGGCTCTGCCAGGCCTGGGAGTCACCCTCGTGCTTGCTCTTCTTGGAGGCCCAGGCGGCGTCGTCCCCGCCGGCGCCTCTGGTGTCGCTCGGGGTGTCCCCGTGCGCTTTCAGGAGCGCGGCAGGGAAGGGCAGCAGGTCCGAGCCGGGCGCAGCCTCCACGCCCGGGGAGGCGCCGCTGGGCGCCGGGCCAGGCTCCGAGCCCTCCCGGGCCGGCGCCGCAGGGGGCTTGTGCACGACCAGCACGTTGTTCCCTTTACCCTTGGGGCAGCCCGGCAGGTTGCGCAGCCACTGGAAGTTGTGGCCAGGCGGCTGGGAGCCGGCGGGGCCGGTCTGGCCGCGGAACAGAGGCAGGCGGGCCGGCCGGGGCCCGGCGTCAGGCCAGGCCTCCAGGGTGGCCGGCGGCGGGAGGACAGACAGCTCCGACTCGGGGGCGTCGGGGACCCCGTTCTCACCCGCCCCCGGGAGGACGCCCGTGAATCCGTCAGCTCCAGTAGTCTCCTTGAGCGGGGGGCGCGGCTCCGTGGCACCCTCAGCGTCCGCGGCCGCATGCGGGGCGTTGGCCGGGGCGCAGGCGGAGGAGCCCGACGCAGCCGGGCAGGCGCCGGTCGACCCCCGGGCCTCGGGGTCCGAGGGCGCCGCGGGCATCTTCTGCTGCACGAGGCTGCTGACGATGCACCTCAGCAGGTCCCGGCTGGGCAGCAGGGAGCCGGGGGACCTGGCTTCCGGGGGCACCAGGGCGCGCAGGCCGCCGGGCGCCGGCTGGCCGGCCGCCTCGTGGGCGTGGGGCGAGTCCCCGCAGGGCTCCTCCTCCAGGGGGGCCTCCTTCAGGGCGCACACGCCGTGCTGGACCTCGTAGTGGCGGCGCAGGGAGCGGTAGTCACAGTAGCTCTTGCTGCAGCCTTGCTCGACGCACACGAACGGCTTCGTCTTCTGGTGGGTGAGCATGTGCCCTGTCCTGCGGGCAGAGACAGGGGGACGGCTCAGCGGCGCCTCGCCGGCCGGGCCACCACAAGGCCCCGCGCGGATCCCCGGTGCACAACCAGCACCGGGGCCGCTGGGAAAGACGGCCAAGCGGCCTGCCACGGGCCTCGCTGTCTGCCAGGGAGCTCCCCTTGAAACAGACCTCTTTGTGTTAAAAAATCAACGGAAGCCAGGCCAGAGTTCACCCGGGGGGGGGGGGGTCCCAAGGAATCCTGGTCCCAGAGCTGTCCCCATGCAGGACTTCAGCTCCGGTGGCAAAGAAGATTGTTTTGTAAACACCATTTGCTCTTAGGAGGTTCCCAATGCACGTTAGCAACAAGAGAATCCACGAGGGAGGGAAGCACCTGTTTAACACGCGGGCCCACAGAAGGGCTTTTGCAAGCAGCTCCTATCACTTCCCTCAGAACTAGAGTTCTGCAGGTTCAAACTAACAAGCCAAACCCACTGCCACCTAGTCCACTGCGGCTAGTGGCGACCACTATGTTACCGCAAGGAAATGCTAATTGAGGAATTATCCTTCCTTCAGCAAGTGAGCCTAAATCTTACTGTGGGACGGCTACATAAGGAGACAGCTACTCTGACCCCCACACCAGAGAAGCCAATTTACAGATGTCCAACCAACCCACCAGGAGCTCTGGTGCTGCAGTGTTTAAGGTATTCTCCTACTAACCAAAAGGTCGGTGGTTGGAACCCACCAGCTGCTCCAGGAGAGAAAGATGAGGCAGTCTGCTGAGGTAATGATTCACAGCCTTGGAAACCCTGTAGGGCAATTCCACTCTGTCCTCTAGGGGCGCTGTGAGGCAGAATCCACTCCATGGCAGTGGGTTTGGTTTGGGCTTTGCCTCTGTGAAGATTGACAGCCTTGGAGACCCTGTAGTGCAGTTCCACTCTGTCCTCTAGGGGCGCTGTGAGTCAGAATGGACTCCACGGCGGTGGGTGTGGTTTGGGCTCTGCTTCCATGAAGACTGACAGCCTTGGAGACCCTGTGGTGCAGTTCCACTCTGTCCTCTAGGGGGGCTGTGGGTCAGAATCCCCTCCAGGCACTGGGTGTGGTTTGGGCTTTGCTTCCATGAAGACTGACAGCCTTGGAGACCCTGTGGTGCAGTTCCACTCTGTCCTCTAGGGGGGCTGTGAGCCAGAATAGACTCCCCGGCAGTGGTTTGGTTTGGGCTTTGCCTCTGTAAAGATGGACAGCCTTGGAGACCCTGTGGGTGCAGTTCCACTCTGTCCTCTAGGGGCGCTGTGAGAATCTACTTCACAACAGTGGGTTTGGTTTGGGCTCTGCTTCCATGAAGACTGACAGCCTTGGAAACCCTCTGGGGGTCACTATGAGTTGCAATCAACTTGATAGCAGTGGATTTAATCGTTAAAAACTTTTTAGAAAACAGCCAAATGTATGTAGAATTTTGGCAAATACAAATACAAGCTGCATCGTATTTACACACACATGCTGTTGTTGTTGGGTGCTGGAGAGTCAATTCTGACTCACAGTGACCCTACGTGACAGAGCAGAATTACCCCAGAGGCTCCTTGGCTGTCATTCTTATGGAAGCAGGTTGCCCGGTTTTTCTCCCGTGGAGCCACTGGGTGGGTTCAAACCACCAACCTTTCAGTCAGCAGCTGAGTGCTTAATCGCCGAGCCAACAGGGCTCCTTTGGTACTTGACATTAATAACCTAACTGTAAGTGACTGAGTACCTCACCTGCCTGGGTTCCTACCAGTCATGAGGGAAGCAACAGAGAGGAACTGGTGTTGCTGGCAGTTACCGCCAAGCTGTCTCTGACTGACAGCGACCCCATGTGTGTGCAGAGATCTGCTGTAAAGGCTTTTCAAGGCTGTGACCTTTGGGAGCAGAGAGCCAGGCCTCCTGAGGTGCCTTTGGGTGGGTTTGAGCTACCAACCTTTCGGTTGCTTAACCTCTCAGCGCTCAACCGTCCGCACCACCCAGGGACTCCAGAGAAGGATTCAGGAGAGCTAAGTTCTAGTCAACAAGCTCCAGCCCCAACTCTCCTACCAGCCAGCGACAGGAGCAAACCCCTCCTTCCCCTGGGGTGGGGGGGGCAGGACAAAATGAGGAAGGGCCAGTAGCAGCTCTGGGCGATGGACAGGTACACTGTGGAAACGCAGGGGCTGTCACCTCCCACGTTCAAGTCTCGCTTTGAAGAAACCTGTCTTCCCTTCCCTCCCCTCACTGAACATAAGGCTTACCGTCTCTGAGACGGCAAGAACAGCGGGAACGTTTGCACCAAACTCTTACAATAGGCTTCCTTTTAAAAACCGAGAGTTAAAAAAAAAAAAAAGAGGCTTAAAAAAAGAAAAGCGGGTTGGTTGATGCTCTTGAAACAAAGAGCACCTCCGAACTTTTGGGTCCGTGTTTTCTCATGTCACCCAGACACATCTCCCTCACAGAGCGTTGATCTGTTCCCCCAGGTCCCTGCCAAACCAAAAAACAAGCCTGCCACAGTCAGTTCTGTCTCTCAGTGACCCTATAGGAGCTCTAGGGGCACAATGCCTAAGGCACTTGCCTGCTAAGCAGAAGGCTGGCAGTTCAAACCCACCAGCCACTCCTTGGAAGGAAGACTGGGCAATCTACTTCCGTAGAGATACCGCCTCAGAAACCCAAGGAGAGGCTGCTGAGTCGGATTCCACACGACAGCAGTGAGTTTGGTTTTTTTTTTTTTTTGGTTTTAGTGACCCTATAGGGCAGAGCAGAACTGCCCCACAGCGTTTCCAAGGCTGAAGTCTTTACGGAAGCAGATGGCCTCGTCTTTCTCCCATGAGCAGCAGGTGGGTTTGAACCGCTGACCTTTCAGTTAGCAGCCGAGCACTTTAACCACCGCTCCACCAAAGCTCCCTTGACCCCCATCAGGGGCGGGGAACATTTCTCTGTAACATTAATCAAACTCCCTTCCTGCCTCAGGTGGCTCTGGGAGCAGGCCAGTGTATCTGCAGATCACAGGAGCAGTGTCCCCCCTGGTGTGAACCTGAGGTCCAACCTGCCCACGGAGCACTGGCCGCGTGAGGGGCCCCAGTGCGCTCCTAAGCACAGGCGACACACCTCTGGGGGATAAGGAAACGGGAAGAGCC